GAGTGAAGAATCCTCAAAGGAAAATGAAGACCGGGCATATTCATTCATTCATTCAGTAAGGCTTCCGGGTATATTTTTTGGCGTACACTGCACCAGAGCATGCAATATAGTTAGTTCCCTGCTCTATTGCTTACAATCAAAAGAGGAAGACAGCAATCAGCTGGTAGATGTGTGGCTGTAGATTAGTAAGAGCTATGGATGAGTTGTTTAAAAGGGAATGTTGAGGGGCCGCCCTGTGGTGTAGCGGGTAAAGCTTCTGCCTGCGCTGCTGGCCTCGCCTATGGACGCCAGTTCAAGTCCCGGCTGCTCCACTTCTGATCCTGCTCCCTGCTCACGTGGGAGAGCAGCAGAAAATGGCCCAAGTCCTTGGGCCCTTGCTTCTGTGTGGGAGACCCAGAAGAAGCTCCTGGCTTCAGATAGGCCCAGCTCCTGCTGGTGTGGCCATTTGGGAAGTGAGCCAGTGGTTGGAGGATCTCTCTCTCTCTCTCTCCCTTTTCTCCCTCTCTCCCTCTCTCCCTTTCTCCCTTTTCTCCCTCTCTCCCTCTCTTTCTCTCTCTCCCCCTATGTTTAACTCTGCCTTTCAAACAAATAAATAAATCTGTTTTAAAAAAGGGAATGTTGGAGTGGGCTTTAGCCCAGAGGTTAGTGCATGAACGTGCCACTTTGGAATGTCTGGGTCTGATTCCCAACTCTGGCTCCTAACTCCAGCTTCCTGCCAATGCAGACCCTGGGAAGCAGTGGTGATGGCTCAAGTGGTTGGGACCCTGCCATCTATGTAGGAGACCCGGGGTGCATTCCCAGTCCCCGATTTCAACCCCAGCCACTTGGGGAGTGAACCAAAAAATGGGAGTGCTCTCTCTCACTCACTCTCTTGCTTTCTCATAGATAAGTTAAAATATAAAAATAAAAGAGCTTGCTGGGAGAGAGACTGGGATGCAATGGGACTTACTTCCCATCAGGAGCCCCAGGAAGACCAGAAGATGAGGAGGAACCTGAAAATGAACAGGGAAGAGGAGCAATTAGGCACGGAGGCAGCTTGAACAAAATCCTAACAAGTTTCAGAAACCAGAAGGAGCGAGTGTGGTGAAGAGATCGGCGAGCAAGGCGAGGTGCTGAGGGATGAGGCTGGGGGTGCGGCAGGTTGGAGTCCAGCCCCTTTAGGTCTTACTGACCATGGTAAAGAGTTTGGATTTTATCTTAGGGGAAAAGGAAATCACTGAAAAGCTTTCAGCAGGGAAATGAAATGGCCTGGCTTTAATTTTAAATACATTTCTCTGCCTGCTGTGTATGGATGAGAATGAGAATGGTCCTAGGGGGACCAGACTGGAGGCCAATGACATTCCAGGTGAGAAATACGGTCGCAATGAAGTGATAAAGATGTGGTAGGCTCAAGACCACCCTAGAGAAGGTCATGTTCTACTTGTCAAGCAAACGAGTGCGCATGTGTGCGGGCACACACACACACACACACACGAATCAGGGCATCTGGCAAATATAGTGAAGGCATATGTCTGGACAGAATTTTGGAGAGGAGAGCTGAGAACATTCCAGGACCATCCCAGCTTTTCGGTTCTAATCCTCTGGCATCTCCATGGGGTCTTTACATGGTCACTCTGTTTGCCCCCTAGGTCCATCCAGCTACAGAGGACCCCTCCAAGCCCTGCCATTGTGTCCCTGACCAATCCTCCCAAAGCCCCCCAGGTATGGGATGGCCATCTCTGGAGAAAGCACACATCTGGGAAGCAGCTGCCTGGCCACGCTCACAAAATCATCTCCTTCTAATCCAATTGAAGCTGGAAAGGAGAGGAGGCGTGGGGACCGAGGAAAAACATGAAGTCTGCCCACGATGGGATCTGGGTAGAGCGTCAGGGGGCACCACCCCAAATTTTTGGAGATGGGCCTCCAGGGTAGCCATTAAGATCTCAACTGGCCTCTGTGTCTTCCTCTGATCCCTGCGAGACCAGATGTGTCCCACAGCTGCGCACCATCTGCTACCCTCCACCCCAGAGGAAGAAGCTACAGTTTGGAGCTTAAAGAAGTCGGCGGGAGAGAGGGGCGGGGAGGTGGGGGGGACACAACCGTGCAGGAAGGGTGAGCTCTTCCGTGGCTCTGGAGGGCTAATTGTGAGAATGAAGAGCCTAGACTTCCCACGACGTGGGCAAACAGCCTGGCAGTCATCTGCACAGTGGCTCCCCCAAAATCCATGCTGGCGTGGGAAAAATGTTCAAAGAAAACTCACTGTGCTGGGCTTTCCAAACGCCTGCCCTCCTAGATGTCCCGCGGATGCTGGCTTACAAACCGCGCCCTCCTTACTGGGTCTGTTCTCTGCTCTTCCTTCCCCTCTACCCTGAGCACACGCACCCCAAGTTCCCAGCCTGAGTCCTCGCGAGCGGAACAGCATCTAGGTCCAGCTGACATCTAATCCTCCCCACAGGGAGAAAGCTGCACTCCCACCCTGCGCATGATGTGACCGGCCCCCTCCCTGCGCTCCGGGGCTCCGTGCAGCCCAGACATATGGATCTTTTTAGAGACTTATGCAACTTGGCAGCCCCGTTTCACACCCTCCAAGCCCTGCTCCTCTGACACTGCTCGGCTGGGAGTGCACCCGGAGAGGGAATGAGCGCATCCACACGGGCCCTTTTGTTCTTGTTCTTTCCTTGTCATTTCTCCTGGCAACTCTCTACTCAATCTGGAAGAGGAAAAGTGTTCCTCTCCTGGCTCAGTCTTTGGCTGAAAACAAGAAGGAGTGGAAAATAAAAAAGAATCAAATAAGAAGAGAAAATGAGAAGAAAAAAAAACTCAAAAAACGGGAACACAGAGCTGCACTGTGTTGGTTCTCGTTGGTTTTCCAAGACAAAGACTGGAAACCCTTCAGCCAACAACATGCTCTGTCTTGCTCCTCCTCCTAGCAATGTGAACAGAGATGCCAGCCTCTGTGCACACCCTGGCTTTGTGCAGTGCACAACCTGAGCGCTATCTGCTGCCACTCTGCCTCCTCTATCACTTAATGCAGCCTGAGCCTCTGATGGGTGAATCCAGCCTTGGCTAAAACATGTCTGGGGAGGAGAGCTAATGCTTCTGCCGAGAGAAAAAGATCTCCCTGTTCCATCCAGCAAGACCCACAGGAGGCTGGCATGTCTTGGGGGAAAGGACACTCTTGCTGCCCTGGAAGGAGGAATGATCTCCCCGCTCAGGGACCAGCAGGCAGAACCTCCACCACTCCCCATCCCTCTGGGGACGGTGTGGGCTGCAAAACGAGAACTTTAAAGGGTGGGGCCATTTTGGATGAAGACCCTAAGCTAGGAGGGGTCCAAGAGATTCCCAAGAATCGGGCTGTCCTGGAGCCGTGCCCCCTTCTCCACCCAGGAAATGGTCTCTTCCAGTCCTTAGGACCAACTCAGAGCTGAGACGCGGAGAAGTGAGAAGTGAAGACTGTTTGGCCTTTATCTTCCAGGACCAGACCTGGGCCAACCACCTGATTTTATTTTCGAGGGTTTCACGATGGGAGGGACCTGTACAAAGCTCAAGGGGATAGTTTGTGCAGATGTTTCCTTTTCAGCCACATTTTCCTGCCCCCTGTTAAAAATAGCACCTTCTTTGCTTTGACGTCCATAACACGTATGTCATGAACGCTCTCCTTTTGGGTTGCGGAGGTGAGGGCCGTTAGGCGGTTGGTCTTTATGGTCTGTGGGGCCACACACTAGATCCAGTCTTGGGTGCAAGGAGATCCAGCCCCTTGAGGCCACCTGTAGAGTAAGGGGCATTGCTTCATGCAGCCTACTCCAGAGCTGGAAAGAGAGTGTGCAGACAAGGAAGGGTGGTTTGCCAAGCGGCCCCGTTTTTGTTTTCCTGAGTAAATCCTTCATCTCTGAGCTTTCTTGAGTCAATTACAGCCCCTCTCCCAGGGTAGCCTGATCTTGCTTTGATAGTAGCCTGGCTTTCCCGGAAACATAAATACTGCCCAGTAGCCCTCATGAGCAAGGCTGAAGCAGGCCTGCAACAACAGGAAGAGTTCTTGAAAGCCGACAAAAGACGCGGGGAAACGAGCAGAGACAATAGCCGCCATACATACTCGCTCACATCCACAAACAATGGATCTCTGATCCTTTCTCAGGGAGCTGCTTCCCAGGGGCCCTTGTCACTGACACAGTCACCCTCTAGCCAAGCCATTTGCCACTGTCACACCAGCCATGGGCAACCCAGGGCCTGACCCATCCAAAGAAAAAAACTACGATTGTTGATAATCACTACACTGTTTTCCTTTCCGGAGTGAAAATGGCCAACTATTCATTTATAAAAGTAGCATGCACTTATTGCAAAACACAAGCTTATGTGCTTATAGGAATGAGGAAGAAAGTGAAATTCACCCATAACTCCACCGCCCAGAATAATCATTGCATATATATGAGACATATAGCACCAGCCATACTGGCTTTTCCCCTGTCCCACACCCGGCCTCACAGCCTCTCATGCCACTCGCATGTCAGGTCACCAGCTCTTCCCAGCTGTAGCCATCACAGAAAGCTTGTGGATTACGTGCGAGTCTAGCTGAAGTCACACATCTTCCTCTCTCATAAGCTGGTCCCACAGGGTGCAAAACCTGGGTGGCAGACCTGGGACCACGCTTGAGGGGAGGGGACACGAGGCATTGTGTTTTACACCTGTTTCCTGAACATCGCCACATTTCTGCTTTTAACGCTATCCCAAGAGGTCTGGTGACCTTGGGGGTCTGCACTGGCCGATCAGGAGGTGACTCCTTTCTAAGGAGCAGCCCTCCAGCTCCAGGGGAAGAGAGGCATTTGCAGAAAGAACAATCACCAGCCCCCCCAGCTGTGCGTGTTTTAATCTATGTATGTACACATACACATAGATAAGCACTTTGAAAACCTCCTAACTTAAATACTCATAACAAAGGAAGACATAAATGATTCACAAGCAGTAATAACTGCAGATAAAAATATTCAAGATAAGTGCAGATTAACAAGACATTGGGAATTTTATCAGTGACAGTTTAAAGACTTTGATGAATACAATTTCCTAGGAAAATAACAAAATTTACCTAAGTTTTTTTTTTTTTTTAATCACAGAGCTCTCATAACAACTACAGAATTGGAAGCAATAGTTTAAAATAGCCCACACTGAATACCAGGCCCAAATGATTTTACAGGCAAGTTCCAACAAATTTGTATAAAGAGGCAATCATCTCAACCTCATAAAAACTCTTCCTGAGAAGAGCAAAGAAAGAAAAAAAGAAAGAAAGAAAGAAGCACTCTCCAACTCACTTTATATGGATTTTTGTAACCCCAATGCCAAACCAGACAATGACACCAAGTTAAGGAACAATTACAGGCACATTTCCTTTATGAATATAGAAGCAAAAATTATAAATAGGAGATTGTATTAGCAAATTGAATTCTATAGTGTATAAAAATGTAATACACCATGACAGAGTTGGCTTTGACCCATGTCAGGAAATCTATGAATGTAATTCACCACACTACCATATTAAAAGGGAACAACCATACATCATTTCCATAGATGCAGATAACGCAGTTGAAGAGATCACTATAAGTTCATTACAAAGAAAAATCTATTCGTAAATTAGGAATGAAAGAAACTTCCCTCAGTATGATAAAAAGCACAGGTGGAAACTGCAGCAAATGTGGAAACATCACTGCAAGTGCACCTTCAAGATCTGGAATGAGGCAGGATCGTGCAGGGTCCTCACACAGTTTTCATCCTTAACTCAGGGAAAACAAACCAGAGGCAAAAATCATCACTATTTGCACTTTATCTTATCATTTATATAGACAGCTCAAAGGATTCTACAAATATGTAGAAATGATAGGAGAATTGAACAAGGTATCTCCAAAATGATAAATACAAAACCGTGAATTGCATCTTTGTATACCAGCAATAAAAATAATTAAAATGGAAATACGATTTACAATAGTCTTAGAGAACATCAATTGTCTAGGAATAAATGTGACAAAAGATGGATTAAGCCCACTACAGGGAAAATCGTAAATTTTAAAGAAGACTCAAACAATGAGATATTTACCAAATTTGCTGAATGAAAGATCCAGTTCTCTCCAAATTAATCTATAGAATAGTTTTGGTCAAAATCCAAAAGGCTGTCTGGGAAAGGAACCTGCTAAGCATTATGTTCGGAAGAATAAAGAGCCAAAACTATCCAGGGCACTTCTGGAAATATTAAGGAAGGGAAGACTTGCTGTACAGGTATCAGGACCTATATAAAGCTGAGTGGACAGGGCAGTGGCAAAGGCATGGGATGTACATGCTGCCCAATGGAGACAGAACCCAGACCCACATAGATAGGAAATGCGGGCCCATGACAGAAACAGCATGCAGAGTAGCAGGGAGAGAGGAGACTAATCAGGAAATGAGGCTAAGAATATTGTTACATGCATAAAATATGTGGAACTAGATTTATGCCATTTACGTATCTTGCATCCCTAAGTCCCATCCTCACCCTCCAATACTCTTCTCTATAATGCTGGGAATAACGTGTGTTTGCTCCATTATGTGAGAATACCCAGTTCTTCTACAGAGGACATGAAAATCAAACCTGATGGGTGAAATTCATTAGAGGTGTTCGCTATAGATAATAAGGAAGCAAGTAATTCATGAGAGGCAGAATTCAGAAGATGTGCTAAAAATAGTAACCTGCAAGAAATGCAAAAATGGGATAAATGAAATGTTACAAGAGATGCATTAAGAGTGTCTGCTTACAGATGGAAAAGGGCAGGCCCTGGAAGGAGGGGGATAAGAAAGGACCCCTGTTAGCATGCAGTCTCACTCTGCCTCTCTCCAACAAGCCGTGAGTCACAAGGCATAGATGACACCACCTTGGGTCCAGCAACCGTGCCATTCCTAAACTGTCTTCCTATTTGTGACACCATTCTGGCCCCTATAGATCCTGCCCCAGAAACGCTGACAAAAGGGATGGCTGCCCAGAAGGCTGGTCAGCTGGGAGAGTGGACCTGAGGCCAAGCCGAGGCATCCTCACACCTCCCAACACAGCAAGCACACGCAGGTTCCAAGCATATTCGGTCTGCTGATCTCCTTACTCCATCTCACTTCCAGTTCTCATAACCACCCCACAACCCAGAAAAACACAAGACTCGGAGTTGCAGTATTTTAACCCCGCCTGCACCCCATTCTAAAGGTGTTAAAGTATGCCAACTCTTTTCTCCTTTGTTCTGGCTCTCTGTTTTTAAATAGATTCAATAACGCTCCTGATTTTATCATCCTTGTTTGATGAAAGCCTTCCTGGTTGGTGGAATATCCTCCCATCAGGGAAGTAGCCACTATATCTAGGTCATTTCCCATAGGGCACTAGTGCTGAGGGTCAGCATGTCACATGTTGCAAACTCCCCTGTCAGCTGGCCTCCACTTGAGTCCTGTCAAGTGAGGGCATGGCAGATACTGAGAAGAGAGAGGAAAGGACCTCTGCTGGGATGCAGTTTCACATCGCTTCTCTCCAACATCTGAACTCCTCCACCACCAGCCTCCCCTCCCTCCCTGCTGAACTGGAACGCAAACCCTGAGCACTTTGAAAATAACTTTGCAACATGGGAAGCGTCTTAGTTTCAAAATACGAAGTTGGAAAACCAAACTGAACAAATGTTTAATTAAATACCTCCAAAAGATAAACTTGTGAAATGCAGTACTTCAATAGTTGTTCATAAATCCAATAAAGATGGAAATATAACAAGAAAGAAATAATATTGAACTCAGAATTATTAAAATTCTTACCACAATGGTTTGAACGCATCCTCTAAATTTCACATGTTGAAAACGTAATCCCCAAGTTCCTATGTGAATGATATTTGATGGTGGAACCTGGGAAACGGATTGGATGACCGCTAGAGTCTGCCCCTGGCCATGGCTAATCCATTCATGGGCTGAAGGCTTATGGGTTGTGAGGGAGTGCTTTGTTATAAAATCGACCATCCCTGGCTGCTTGCTCTGTCTCGCCAGGTCGTGATGCAGCAAGAGGGCCCTCACCAGATGCCCAGCAGCTCCTGAAACCATGTTCTAGGAAGTGCCAGCCTCCAGAATCATGAGGCACATGAACTTGTGTTTTTTCATTAATCACCCAGTCTCAGGTATCTTGTTATAGCAAAAGAAAATGGACTGAGGCCTTTACCTTATTTTTTCACATTGAAGGAATTATATTAATAGAGGGTGAGGTGTGTGTGTGTGTGTGTGTGTGTGTGTGTGTGTTGGTGTGGAGTGGGGTAAAGGACATTAAATAGTAGTAATGATCACGACCCACAAAGATATATAAAGGGCCCAGCCATGTGTTTCTGGTGCACCCTGGCCTCTATGTGGTGTAGCCAGCATCCTCCTACAACAATAGCTCATGTGACATGGCAAGGGAGCAGGGATATGGAGGGGCAGCCCAGGCTAGACCTTTGAAGAGACAACATAGCTCAACTCTATCTGGCTTCTGAGAACACATTAACGCTGGGGTCCCTGGGTGCACTTGTGTCCAGTGGCCAGAACCTGTATTTGTGGGGGTCTGGGATAAGGATGTGTGTGTTTGGAGTGACGAATCAGCACTCCTGGGAGATACATAGTTGTCAGTCATCTAGCTTCGTGGTTTTGGTGCCATCCACAGATTCACAGTTGAGAGAAGACTCCACTCTGGTCTCCCGCACCCCGCCTCCTATGTTCCCTCCCCAAAGCACTCCTTCAACCTAGCATGTCTTCCCTTGGTTACCAGGTCTTCTTGAACACCAGCCTGTGCAAGAATCATGAAGAGTACTCGTTACAAAAGCAGATTATTGGCCCTCATCCTTGATTCTGACTCTGTGTGGACCATGCTGCGTAAAACTCCCCTCTGGGCACTGGCGCTGTGGCGTAGTGGGTAAATGCTGTCACCTGCAGTGCCGGCCTCCCAACAGGCACAGGTTCGAGTCCCGGCTGTGTGGATTTCAAATTGTTGTACCAAAATAGACCTTGCTTTTAACTCCATTTCTCCTCAGACTCGTCCCTATCCTCACAATGCACTCTCAAGCCATTGTGTCAGCCAGCTTCTCATAGATACTCGATCTGCCACAGCACAGGAGCCGGCGCTGTGGTGTAGTGGGTAAAGCCGCAGCCTGCAGTGCCGGCGACTCATATGGGCTCTAGTCCCAACTGCTCCACTTCCGATCCAGCTCTCTGCTGTGGCCTGGGAAAGCAGTATAAGATGGCCCAAGGGCTAAGGCCCCTGCACCCACGTGGGAGACCCAGAGGAAGCTCCTGGTTCCTGGTTTCGGAATCAACCCAGCGCTGGAAGCTGCGGCTGTCTGGGGAGTGAACCAGTGGATGGAAGTTCTCTCTCTCTCTGCCTGTGCCCCTCTGTAACTTTACCTATCAAATAAATAAATAAATTCTTAAAAAAAAAAAAAAAAACTCCCTTCCATGGCATCCTTCATTCTCTCTCTGTGCTCCCAAAGCTAGCTAAGAAGTTCAGATACTGGAGACACGGCCTTGCCTCTGTTTCCCATTGACTACCTATAGGAGAAAAACGGCATTCAAAGCAGCCAGAAGAAATTTCTGGAAACAAAGTAAGAACTAAGTGGGCCAACTTGGTTTGCATATCACAGCCAGGATGACGACCCCGTATTTCATGCACAATTTCACATACGGTGGCTGAAGCAGGCCCGGTGCTTGGGCCTGAAGGAGTTCAGGTGAATGGAGGGTATGGTGGCGTTGAAGCTGACTCCTTTTCCCTGTGTATCAAGAGTCCCGAGGCCCAACGGCTGACTGAAAAATGCGCATTGTAGCCCTTTCTGTCCCCAGCTACAGGCCCCTGAGATCGCATGTGGTCAGATCTGAATTGTCATTTGCACTTTGAAACAAATCCATACTATGCCATTATGTTCAATCAAAGTTGCGCATTAAGCCTTTGCTTTTATCGTGGATGAAACGCTTTGTTCCCTGTCTAAAGGATCCTTTGGCAACAGGGTCACCATAGGGAGAATTTGGTTTTGGTTTTAGACTCGGATTCCCTTCTCTGTGCAACTCAAACTGACATAGGTCTGAGATAGATCAGAAAGAGAAACCGACTTTCCTAATGCCGGGATCTGCAGGGCGTAAATCAGAAAGGACCCCAGGGTGCTGGTCTGCTCATCATTCCCTCCACACACCTCCCCACCCCCGCCCCCAGACTTGTGCGGCCCAGACTCCTGGAAGAGACCGGACTCAGTGCGCACAGCCCTGTATTTCCAGCCAGCCTCTCAAAGCATCTTCTCGAATCCTCTGCCATCGACTGCCTGGCCTGGCTCTCCTCTCCTGTAGTTTGCAGCTCCCAGTCTGCGCTGAGCCTGGCTGCCCAGCTCAGAGTCCACAGTGCAGTGGGGTTCACCAACCTCAGGCATGGCTGGGGAAACACAGGCATTTGCGGATGTATCAGGTTGTGGAGGGTGGGGTCGCAGGAAATGGTTTATTTGATGGGAGAGCAAGGTGAAGCCCCTAGAGGCTTAAATGGAGGGTTGGAGAGAGAATGACTGGGAAGAAGGCAAACCAGGCCTGGGGCAGTCCTTTGTCCCAGGATGGTGACTATCAGATCTCCAACTTGTGCAGGAAAAGCTCCCTGCAACTCACACAGGTCCTGGAAAACAGTGCCAGGCAAAGTGCACTAGGACACACTGGACGCCACACTCGACCACGTTGGTCCTTTGTGGGTCCCGCGCAGGCGCTATGCCTCGCAGGCCGCACCACGTCCACCATGACCCTGAGTGCGGGTGTCGCAGCCGTCAGGTGTAGCTTTGACCCAGTGCTGAACACAGTGCTCACGCTTGTCAGCTCGGTCCTCGCAGTGGGTTCCTCTGCCGGGTTATCAGCTAAAACCTCAAATAAAAAGAAACAAAAACTCGAGGAAAGGAAAAACCCTCCGTGGACAGTCGCCCCATGCCGTGCCCACCGGCAGGGCTGACACCAAGGGGTTAAAAGTTGAGTGGAAGTGGCGCACAGAGAGGTAGGACCCGGGCCTCCGCAGAAAGCTGGGGCCGTGCAAACCTCCACCTCTTTTGGCCTCGACGGGCGGCGGCAACTCCAGCCTCCCTCCCAGCGTCCTCCGCCTTTGGGAAACTCAAGGCGAGGGGCCGGCCGGGCCAAGACTAACGAGGGAGGAGGGGAGAGAGGCGCGAATCCCCCACCCCCTCCCGGGCCGAGGGGGCGGGAGGAGCGCGTCCGGGCCGCCGGCCGAGCCGCGTCTTCCACTCTGCACCTCTTCGCGAGCGGCGCGGGAAGGATGCTGGTCCGCAAGGGCGCGCGCGCGGGGCCCGGGATGCCGGGGGGCTGGACCGCGCTCTGCCTGCTGAGTCTGCTGCGTGAGTAGCCGCGGCCCGCCCGGCTGCGCGGCGCCGAGCGAGGAGGGCGCGGGGTGCGGGGTCGACGCTCGGGCGGAGGGAGCGAAGGGACCCCTGGGCCGCCCCCGCTCGCTGCCGCCCGCGGCGGTCCCCTGCGGGAGCAGCGCCTCACCTGGAAGTCGGTGGGGGCGGGAGGGCCGGGGAGGCCCCGCGCCGGGAGCGCGAAGGCGCCCAGGTGGGAGCCGGCCACCGCAGCTCTCCGCCTAGGGAGCGACAGAAAGCGCTTTGGGGTTGCCCGTGTCTCTTCGCGGTGCCAGAGGTGCGGAGCGCACAGCTGGAGCCAGAGCCGGGAGGTCCCGGAGAGAGGAGCAGGAGAGTTTTGCGGCTGTGGTTGGTTCAGAAAGCAGCGGCCCGAGCGACGTGCGGGCAAGGGCGCCGGCGCCCACCGCCCTGCGGACAGACGTGGGCAGTAAGGAAAGCGAGGGAAGCCAAGTAGGGGCGGGCGAGGAGGCTCTGGATCCCACGCCCGGGAGAAACGCCCGGGAGGTGAGCAGGGGCGTTTGGAATGAGAACAGTCCATGGAAACAAAACATCCTCAGGTTGGAGAGTGGGAAGCTGGGCGAGAATTCCCCTTCCAGACACGGCCTGGGGCGCACTGAGTGGAGGTCCTGCACCCGCCTTCCTTCGCTCATCACAAACCCACACTTGCTGCGTTCGGAGCGCCCTGCCCCTGCCCCCTCCACGTTCTGGCGCTCGGGTGGACAGGCCTGGACCCTGCCCACTGCACCTTACCTCAACTCTCCTGCTCCCGCTTACGCAGAAAGAGAAAAAATGGACATCGCCATGTACGCCTCGCTGGGGCAGCGACCTCCATCTCATCTCACTGCACTTAGACATCGCCCTCCCTGGTGCTCAGGGGTTTGCTCCCGGTTCCCGCTCAGAGTCTGCTGCATCCTAAAGGCCACCCACCATGGCCAGCCCACCGGGCCTCTTTGTCTCCTGTCTTCTCCGCAGACTCCCTTGGTTCCCCCGAGTCACAGAGAGCTGGCTGCACGCTGGAGGAAGCCGTTTCGTTCTTGGTTGACCTGTTCAGCAGCTCTGGATATGCCTGTAGGGCAAGAGAAAAGCTGTTGTTGAGGTTGTGAAATTCTCCAATGGGTGTTCACCTTGCCCTCACCACAGGGGCGAGTGGGCTAGGGGCTGTAATTCTGATCAGATGCCTTGCTCTCCACTGTTGCACAACTGTGATGACCAGTGCTGGGCCGAGCAAGGCCTCCACCCCGTGTTTCTGGTCTGCTCAGCTGGCCAGTGTCTGTATCACCTTGGCCTACAGAGGTGCAGAGAGGGAAACAAAGCAACCCGCACGAAACCTGGGGCAGATAGGCTGGGAAATGCCGGTTCTAGAGAGACTAGAACCCTCGACAGTCTCTGGGTGTGCGAGGGTAGCCCCAGGGACTGACTCGCTGAGCCTTGTGTTGGGGACTGGGGGGAGGGGTGGAGAGGAGGTCCCGGGGAGGAATGTCTTTGTAACTCTTTGTAACTGGCTCCTTAGTATAGTCCTGGCTGCAATTCTCCGATTGGGGGGGGGGGGTGCAGAGCATGGGTCCCTGTCCCTCTCCCCGGCCTTGTTGGACCGCTTGGGCCTATTGGAGCTCCATGCCTTCCATAAGACCTTTCTAGGCTTTCTGTGTCGCTGTGTTTGTTAGTACTGAGGAATCATTTTTCTGCCCTGGGATACACTGTGGGATGAGAGGAGATGACTATACATTGACATGCTATCCATGGGCCGTTACAAACAATTCTGTGTTGTTCTCACTGTGCAATGTGTAGGGCAAGGTGGGGGGGGCAGGTCCTGTGCTTGTCTTGTCACTTACTTTGACGAAGAGTGCATCTTGGGAAAACGTTTTCTGTCCATGTGAGAAGTTGGCATGGACGTTAGCACAGCAGAGTGGGCTCTCCTTGTTGGTTGGGGTTGGGGCACATCACAGTCTGGAGTCAGGACGGAAGCCGGGGGTCAACAGCAGCGCTGCCACACGGGTGTGCTTCCTCCACCCCCTGCCCCAGGCCTGTCCCTCCCCTGCCCCTAACAACAAGCCCCAGTCCTGCTCAGTCACATTCCTCTTCTTCCTTTGGGTCCTTCGAGCCTGCTGACCCCACACCCATATCCTGTCTGGGGCTACTCTTAAGAGGGGAAAAAGAAAAGGGAAAAGAATTTTATCAGATATTTTCCAGAGGGGAGAGGACTCCACCCTTTGAATTTCAGCCACATGGCGACCGAGGAGGAGCAGCCTTGGGGACCTCTGACTAATTCAGTGGTCGGCCCCCAGTGCTCCCCCCTTGTAGGGCCATCCCAGCTGGCACAGTCTCTGCAAACAGCAGTGGGGCCTGGGGCCTCTTTCCCTTGTCCCTGTGGCTCCACCCCCAGGCCTGCCGTGAGCCTGTCCTCACCTCCTTCCTTCGCTTTGTCTCCAAAGCTCCGGGCTAGAAGTGCCAAACTGCAGCAGATAAACTCAGGGGCAGAGTCCTGCAAAAACAAGCAGAAAGGAGGAACAAAGTCCGCTCCTTAGGCTCTGGGACCGATTTCCTTTAGACCCCTGGCTGAAGGGTCTGGGCTTCCTGGCGGGCCGGCCGCTCTCGGCTCCAGCCTCTGCACACATGGGCCTCCCTCTCTCCTTGACTTTGGTTGATCTCAGTAAACGGCTCACAGCGTGGAGAGCTGCAAACGCAAAGGCATGGAAAAGGAACCAAACTCCACCCTTTGAAAGAAAAAGCGGGCTGTCGCCAGGACAGAATAATCCTTATTTTTCTGGGCTTTGACTTCTCTGATGAGAACATTCTCTTCCCTCCTCGGCTGAGAAATGAAAACACATCATCTACAATTCTTGGTCCCAAGGTCCCCAACTTTGTGCAAAGGAGAGAGAAGGAGAGAGAAGGAGAGAGAGGGAGAGAGAGGAGAGGATGCCCTGGGGAGCGTAGAGACGTGATGAACAGGGGTGCCTGTTGGGTGCACATCCCAGCACCTCCACCGGGAGCCCTCCAGGCAGGACTCACCTCCCCGCCCAGGCAGAGAGGAGGCCTTTTGGCTTCACTGGGAAGTCTGCACCTTCCTGGTCCTGAAAAAAGTTAACTGAAAGCTGATCAGTCTTAGGGGAGTGGCATCTCTGGGCAGCTGGTCCCACTGTTTAAGGAACTGCCATCCGGGACCTTTAGGGAAAGAGCCTCAACCCCTGGACTAACCCTGGGTGTGCAAGGGCAGCCCCAGGGACTGATTTGCTGAGCCTTAGGGCAGAAGGCAGAGCCCCGGTGGGTGGGTGGGGGTGGGGGATAGGGGAGGGGTGGGCAGGAGGTGGGAGGTTCCAAGGGACAAATGTCTTTGCAACAGGGCTCATCAGTACAGTCATGGCTGCTCCTCCAAGGTTAGGCCACTGCCTCTGATCTTACCCTGTGTTCTCAAACCTTTAGTATAAATTAGCTACACACACTAGGCTCGGGGTGGTGGGTTTTTGAGGGAAGCTAAAGGAATGAACTCACGAAGAGAATGAGGCCACTGGCACACAGGGGCCCACCCTGTGCCCTGGGAAGTCTCAGGGTCTCGGGGCTCCCGGGAGAGTGGGTGAGGTCAAGACAAGCTATTTAAAGATAAAGGGGAAAGCTCAGGTTCCTGGGAGCGCTCCTGTCTCACCTCAGCCTGGGGCCCGTCCTTTGTTGGAACTCAGGGAGCCCCAGGCTTGGCAGGGGCCCCTGCAAGGATGTTCCTTGTGAGCTTACAGGAAGCATGGGATTCCTAGCTCATGCCGTTTTTAAAAGTAACTGCGCCCTTTGGTTTTCTCTTTGTGTTGCAGTGAGATTAGCCTTCTGTAACTTCTAATCACTGCTTCTCTGTTCTGCTCTTTGGACTGGCACAGATTTAATTTGCTTCTCCACTGCCGCCCCTGAACACCTTTGCATCCAGCCCCACCAGATTACAAACTCCTTGGGGCTGCTGACATTACAATGACACCAGCGTCAGATGGGGGGAGGACACCGCTCTTCGTCCTCCTCCTCTCTACGGAACTGAGTAAGAGCGGCTGAGCCCCAGTTCTTAAGGAAAGTCAGAATGCTTACACAGGTGGAGGAGCCTTGAAGGAAGTGGTCCGTGCTCCCTCCTCACCTTTTCCTCCAGATCAAGGGTTAGCAAACATTTTCTGTAAAGGCCTGAATGCTTAAGCATTAGGCTATGGGGGTCATAATTATTTTCGGCTGCAAATTCTCTTTTATTGTTTTCTTAGGACACTTCTAAAAATTTGTTTATTTACTTTCTTTTTCATTTTATTTGAAGGGCAGAGAGATACAGAGAGAAACAGATACTTGCAGACAGAGATCTTTCATCCTCTGGTTTAGTCCCCAAATGACTGCAACAGCTGGGACTCGGCCAAGCTGAAGCCAGGAGCCCGGGATTTGATCTAGGTCCTCCACGCAGGTGGCAAGGACCAACCACTGGAGCCGTCACCTGCTGCCTCCCGGGGTGCACATTAGGAGGAAGCTGGGAAGAGGAGTGGAGTTTGGACTTGAACCCCGACACTCTGATATGGGTGCAGGAGTCCTGGGTGGTGTTTTAAGGGTTGGGCTAAATGCCCGCCTTGCTGAGGACACGTGTGGAAAAAAATGTAAAAGCCGTGCCTGGCTCACCGGCCATACAGAGGGCCATGACTTGACAACCCCCATCCAGATGAAATGACACTGGGCGGGCAGCAGTGGGACGGGGCTGCTACAGCTCTCTGTATCCTGGCAGGAGCATCCTCAGCCTAGCAAATGCCCTCTTCAAACAGACTCAGAAGCAGCCCGCGGTGCACAGGGGTGTTGGTGTGTGCGTGCCCTGCCCAGGCCACCCTTCAGTTCTCCTGCTCATCCTGAACTAAGCGCCGTGAGTACCCGGCTATGACAGTGGTTCCGCACCAAGACCTGTGTCATCCAACTGGGGTGACCGTTAGACCTATCCTGAGGAAGCAGCCTTTGTGATTTGGGGCCAGATGGGTGACACAGATAAGCGTCTCAGGCTCTGGGAGAGGCAGGAGGAAGGGGCCCCCGAGGTAAAGATAGCCACTGGTTCTTGGGCTTGTACCACACAGGCCAACTGCTTCCCACTCCTTAGCTGCTCTGTCCCTCCAAACATCCGGGAGTAGGGCGCTTTGATCCCCTTTTGACAGGAAAGGTTGAAGCATTAGAGTAGCTTCCTAAGCCCGTGCAGCTGGAACAGGGCGGAGCAGTGCTGGGGTCGTCTGCCTGCAGTGTTCTCTCTGGCCTGCAGTGTCTCCTCAGGGTGCGCTCCTGCCCGTGCTGTGACTTCTTGGGCTAAGACACCCAAGGTCCCCCTCTTGGGGGAAAGGACGGGCCGGGAAGGGGAGGCGGGGAGGAAGCAGCACCGATAAAAGACTAACACTTGGGAGAAGTCCATGAAAGGCAAGACCACGCACAGGAAGTCCCAGTGCAGGAATTTGGTCATTTATCTCACAGGTGGACCTCAGAGGATCCCAAAGCCACTTTAAAGACAAAACAGTCTTGAATTTGCTAATTGTAGGAGGAATATTTTCAGAAGGTATTGCATATGCGTCTGCTCCCTTCCAGTAAAGAAAAATGAGTTTACCCTCCGTGCCTCAGATGCTTGTGAAAATGATGTGGCTGTGCGGAGATTCAGTGACGTCACTGACGCTTACTGAGCTGCTGTATCTACTCGCTCCCACCAGGAGCGCTTCCAGACCACGTGGGCTGTGCTACCTGCGTCTGGTTTTCATTTATTTCTGTTCCTCAACTTTTACGTGCTGTTTTTCCTTGTTATTTGCTTCTAATAGTCCCTTCCTAATGTTCAGCTTTGGTTTGGGTATGAGATCAGCAAACTCATTAGAACTGTGGGTAACACGAGGATAATTGTCTCTGACCAGGTCCCTGTGAGTTCCATGGTGACTTTTGCTACATGCATTTTGTGACACCTACAGTTGTCCCTTGGCATCCCTGGAGGATTGGTCCCCGGACTCCTTGTGGATGCCAAACTCCCTGGGTGCTCAAATCCCTTCTGTGAAACACTGTAGTATTTGCATGGGATCTACACACATCCTGCCATCTATGGGTACTTTAAATCATCTCTAGAAGACCTGTAGCACCCAAGACAGTGTAACTGCCATGTAAATAGTTGCTAATTGTATTGCTTAAGGAATAGTGACAAGAAACCAAGTCCAGCACAGATGCGACTTTTCCCCTGGTATTTTCCATCTGGGTTGGTTGAAACCATGACACAGAACCTGCAGGTATGGAGAGCCAGCTCTGCTGGGCTTCTTAGAATCCTCCTCTCGTTTCTCCATATTCATGGATTGAGATCGAATAGGGTGATGAGTCTAATAGTGTCCTAAGGAAATCAGGTAATGAGGATGGACCGAGAAGAACACAACCTTTCACGCAACTTTGCATCGTCTGAGTGCTCTGCTGGGTTCTGGACAGGGCTGCTCTCCCTGTCTAGACTGGAGCGGGGTGCAGGTGCCATCATTGCCTCCTGGGATCTGAGGCCCACACTGGCTGGTGAGCTGATGCTGTTCCCCCAAAGTTAGGGGTTACAAACACACATAGAGCAAGTCAGGGGTGTGGCTGGGAAAATAGCATCAAAAGATCCTTAATCAGTCTCGACTCTTATAATGTCGTTCTAACAAGTACCAGCGGAGCCCGAGAGACCGTGAAACCAGGAGGCTCACTTGCTGGTGGCCCCAGCGCTGTCCCAGGGGCTGGCTCGCAGACGCCTGGCCAAGGCGTCCCCTGGCTGTCATTCAGCTCATCCGAGGGCCCAGCTTTGCCCTTCAGGCCTCCCTCTCTGCCTTGTTTCTCTAATGTCTCACAGGTTTCTCTGCCTACCCCGTGCTCGGCATTGTGAACCTGCAGACAGATCCCACCACCCTGGTCCTCGGGGCTTGGCGCAGGCGTGGTGGGAGGAGGCTGCTTTCAGCTGGGAGCCGGTCCCGGGGGCTCAGAATTGCTTCACTCTGCTGGAGCAGGCACCTCGTGCTCAGGACGAGCAGCAGGTCTCTCCTCCCATCTGGAAGAGTTCAAGAGTGTTTGTCTGGGCGAAGGAGGCCCCTCGGGGGCGGAGTTCAGAAGCATGACATCACCGCAGCCAGGCCCTGCTTCCTTTGGAGAGAGAAGAGGGCTGGGCCAGGACGGACCAGATGGGATTCCCAGGAACTGTTGTGTAGGGGAGAGGAGGGAGGAGGTGGGCAGGAAGAGGGGTGTCAAAGTGGGGATTCCAGGAGTGTCTGGAGTGGCGCCTCCAGGGGGTGATGTATCCGTTCACTGTCTGAGTATTACTGCCACCTACTCCCTGTACTGAATTCACGCTTTAGCGTGCGATTGGGCAAGGGGTCCTAGCTAAAGGGGGAAGAAGCCTGGCCGGGCTTCCATACCTGTTTTACTTTGATCAACCCACCTCCCATCTGTGCCAGACAGGAACCCGTCCTGTTCTCTCCACAGATGCACCCACATTCTTGGCAGTTTAGACCCCTTCCGGCACCCTCACTGCATCTACTCCAGAATGAGCCACACCTCTGCATCCCCGCACCCTTTGCCCACGTGAGCCATGGTCTTCCCTCGTGGCCACCGCCTTGGTGGTCCGGATTCTTCATCTGTAAGATACAGATCATATTAGTGTTTTTTCCTGTTCTCCTGCTGCAGGTACCATCACTATATCCATCTAACTGCAGATGGCTGGGCAGGGAGGCGGAAGTGGGAGACTGAGGCCCTTGTCCTGTTTATGGCAAGCCTCCTTGGCCTCAGGTTACTTGCCTTGAAGCTAGACGTCTGGCTGCCTTTTTAATGCTTAGGGAAATAAGAGGTGTCCTTCTACCTTAAAAGACACACCCACAACACCCCATCTCAATCAGGAACCCTGGGGGAGGAGCTCCAGGATGGCTGGGGAGGCTCTGGCGCAAACTCAGGTGCCAGGTCCATCCAAAGCATTTACAGGGCCCAAGGCCAGAGTGCCGCAGAAGCTCACGCACACTCTGCATCTCAGGTCTTCAAAGTTATAAATCAGAAACGACGTGGCCCCTGTCCTCTCACCTGCTGGCCATCAGGAAGGCTGGGTTTCAGTCACCCCTGGCATTCAGTGCCGCAGTGTGGCTGAGCAGGAGGAGACGGCCCCTGGTCCCTTCTCCCGGCCTGTGCTGTGGCCCCCGCTCTGCGGATCTTGTGTGCAGGCTTGGGATGCCCCTCCCCCGCCGCCATAGACTTCAGCTCTCACTCCTCGTGACCGCCACTGCTGCTGCAGTTCACCCGCAGGAGGGTGGACTGGTTCACAAGGCCCACACAGATCCTGGCTGTCAGCAAAGAGCCTTTTGGGCAAGAAGTTCTAGAACTTTCAGCCCCCTGTATATGATCTGGTAGAGAGGGTATGTGGTGGGTTGTCCTGAAGGTAGTAGGGCAGGGTGTGGGCCCTCTGGGGGTCAGGTTGCAGGCCCAAGCTTCTCCCTACTGAGTCTAAGAATGCTCACTGAGCGCCCCAGAATGTTTAGAAGAAGGGGACAAGAACACGCCCAAAGAGCTAGGTCCAGGAGCATTATACCATAGTAATTTAGTGTTTGTTATCACGTTGATTCTCCCAATAACCCATGTAAGGTAGACAGAAAAGATCCTCACTTGAGAGGTGGTCTAAGACAGACAGACAGACACATACGTGAAATCCTAGTTAGTTGTTGGCAGAGCTACGGTGAGAAGCCAGGGCTGTGTTCTCTGGTCCGTCAGCTGGATTCCCAGCTCAGAGCTTCTGAAAGGAAATCTGGGGGTTGCCTGCTGCAGCTTTGTTCTCCAACAGAAGGAAAGGGGAGTGGGTTGGGAGGCCACGAGGGGAGAGAAGAGAGGAGCTGGGAGTGGATGGAGGAGTTCGAAGGGGATTGCATGGACGTGGTGCGAGTCTAGTTACCATTCGAGAGTTCACATACTGGATGGAGAGTGACCCATAGAGAGAAAATGCCGTCCCTCCCGTTTTAGATCACTGCCGTGTTTATGCAGGTGTAATCTTGTGTTTCAGTATTTTACTAAACATGAACGTTGCCTTGTAGTTCTGTGTTGCTACAGTTTCCCTGTAATTGTTGTGACTTTGTCGACGATCACACGAGGATTATGGTATATTAAGTGCAGCTACCCCGTGCCCTACTGTTGTTCATTTGGTTGCATTCAACTTTTCCCTCCTGTAACTGATTCTGCAGTGGACGCTTGGGTGTGTGTACACTTTTCCTTCCCTCTTTTCTTAGGACACACCTGGTAGTTGGAAATGAATCCACTGCCCAGCAGGCTATTCCTGGTGCTGCCACATTGCCAGGGGCAGCAGGGATGTTCCAGGTGGATCCTACTTACGTCGAGAAGTTGATCCAGGGGCACGTTCCAGGGAGGTTAAGTTCTGAGTTTGCCTCTTTATTTTCCTACAGCCTCTGGGTTCACAAATACAGACAACTCGACTAGTATTACCCCGGAGCCAACTATCCCGGGAAAAATTTCAGCTCTTACTACAAGTGTATCCAGCCAGGAATCCAAAACACCAAGTACCACTGGAAGCACCAGCCCCAGCCTTACCTCTCAGGGCTTCAATGGGACCACAACAACCATCTCAGGTAAGGAGGGTGCTTGTCCAGGCCCTGGAGCGATGCTACCAGCACTCGGGTGAAGCATCTACGATGCTTGCATACCACACCCCTCGCTTTAATGCCTTGAGCATCATGCTTAGAGCAACTTGAATAGGTTCTAGATAATTTTTCCTATAGTGGCAACTTTCTCAGGCTAATGCCTTGGCAGCCGATCCTGACCAGAAATGCGTCCTGTACCCCTACTTTCTTTCATGCTGAATTCAGTTTGATGACTATTTAAAGATCAGATGAGGGCTCCACACAGGTCTCTGATCTCTTTTCAATGAACGAAGCTGGATACAGGTTCATATTAGGGGTCTTTGGCGTCTGTTTAGGGTGGACTAGCATCTGGTTCAGTTTCAGAATCCTGAGGAAAACTCTAATGCGTTCTAGATTATTGCTATGATTTCTAGCTGACTGGAAATGAGCTTGGTCAGGGTTTGGATATGAAATCGTGGCTACCGCCCCAAACTCCCAGTTGTGCATCAAATCCCAAGCCTATGTCATGAACTGAGATAGACAGATGGATGAGTGGGTATGTGTGCATATGTATACACTCAGACCTGTGATTTTGGTCTATTTCAGAGACTAGAGTCAACTTGACCTCTTCCCCTGGGACCACCCCAAGCCCTGGAACCACAAACGCTTCTGTACAGCCACAGACCTCCCTAGCCGTGACAGTGCCCACCACCACCTTGGCCAACTTTTCCACTGCAGAGACAACCTTGGAGCCCAGCACATCACCTGGAAGTATTTCTAATCACACACTCAATAGCACCAGTCCCGAGATATCTCCCACTACATTCTATATGTCATCTGCTTCTACTCCAAGTACCGCCAAGGTGGGTGAGTTGGGCCCCAAATGGCAAACTGCCCCCCTCACTTCATCTGTCTGCAAGTGAGCTCTCCCCTCCCCTCCTCCTCTCCTCATCCCAGCCAATGGGATTTTGGGTCATGTGGGCATCAGGGCGGAAACATGCTGGGTAAGGGTCGTTGACGGTGGGGGAGGGGAAGAAGGGATGATCTGTGCTTTGGGCTCTGCGTTTTTAGGGAGTAGGGAGTGAAGCAGATTTCCAGGGATCCCTCTGTTCTGTGGTTCTTTCTAGTACCTATTGCCATGGCTTTGACCAGGGCAGCATTCTCCTTTGGGAATATTTGGAAATCATCTTCCAATGAATGGTGTTGCTTCACCCAAGGTGCTCAGGACAAATAATATGTCCTCTGTTCGATAGGTTGGTGGTTGGGCACGGCTAGAGGCAGCGAGGAGGTCACCAGCAATGGTCAGAACCAGGCAGAACAGCGATGGTGAGCTCAGCCTGCCCTTCTCGGCTCCAGGGCCTCTGGTTCTCAACAGCTTTTGGCAGGAAGGGCAGAAAATATGAGGGCGTGGAGGCTAAGGACAGGCACGAGGGGCCTGCCTGGTTTCTGTTTTCACACAAGCCAGAACAGGGATTTGGAGAGACCTGGGGGCTATGGGGAAAAATAGTAGTCACCAGGATCTGCCTAGCCACGCTGGCTGTCACCTCTGTGCCCTATGGCCTTCCTACAAGTGTGCTGAACTGGGCGGGGGGGGGGGGGGGGGACAGCCTCCTGGGAAAAGAGTCCCCCCCCCTTTTCTGCCCTTGCTAAGCCAGTGTTTACCAGGATTGCAAATAGCTGTTTGCCTGCAAGCCCAGACTAGTGAGGAGGGAAAGAAGTTCTGATTGCCTGGAGGGGTGAGGGAGGGAGGTGGGAGAGGGAGGTCAGAACACCCACTGGTGGGCACCGTCCCTTATCCAAGATGCTTCCAACCAGTTTTCAGATTTCAGAATTTAAAAAAAAAATTTTGGAATATTTGTGTATACATAATGAGATATCTTGGGAAAGGAACCAGAGTCTAATTCATTCATGTTGCATATGCACCTTACGCACATAGCCAAAGGGAATTTTGTACAGTGTTTTTACTAACTTTGTACAGGAAGCAAAGTCTCATAATGTCAGCTTCTCCATTTGTGGTATCATGTAGGGACTCAAAGTTTTTGTTATGGAGCAATTTAGAGTTTTGGATTTTCAGATTAGGAACGGTCAGCCTGTGTGAACAAGCTCTAGTCCTCTCATAGATTCTGAATTTCCTTTTCCCTAAAACCTCTGGAGGGAGTGCCTGTCAGACTTCAGACTCAAAAGGGGGTCGGGGAAAATGCTGGACAATGGTATGAGTGCCTTTACTTTGGTTTTTGTTTTTGTTGTAATACAGGGAGAAATCAGATGCTCGGGAATCCGAGAAGTGAGATTGACTCAGGGCATCTGCCTGGAGCTGAACGAGACCTCCAGCTGTGTAAGTGAACCCCACCCCCACCCCCACCCCATTGCTTCCTCTGTTCCCCTCCTGCAACCCCTTCTGAACATCCTTCAGCCTTGCAGTGTGGGGCTGCCGTTTGCTGGGGGCCAAGCTGCATTCTAACAGTGAGCTTGGAGTTTATGGAGTAAGAGGCCCCATCTGGTGGACAAAAAAGGCAAACGCAATTTTAATTAAATTTCGTTGCTACTTGATATTGTCATTTAAGTTTGCTTTTATGTGTAAAACAATCCTTCCCATTTCCAGATATGAAGTAGCCACCTCAAATATTGGTTTGTTGGTTGTTATTTGCAGATAAACCTTTAATCCATATAGAATGTATTTGCACTAATGCTGTATTTTCCATGTAAACATTTTCCTTAACAGTGATTGATTTTTATGTATGTCCCAGGCCATATTCTTCAGATATATTTTAGTTTGTGCACACTTTTGCTTATTTTAAATTTAAAAACTTTGTACTTTTAATATCTAGCCAGGCAAGTCTTTCCTCATTATATTACAAAAAGTATAGTTTTCTTCATCTCTCTAGAAAATGTTCAAAGACATCTGTCAAGATGCAAAAGAAAAAAAATTCAAATTTTCATTGAAACTGCTCTAAAATTGCTTGGTTTTGTACCTCTTAGCACCTTTTATAAAAAAATGTCTTTTTCTGGCCGGCGCCTCGGCTCAATAGGCTAATCCTCCGCCTGCGGTGCCAGCACACCAGGTTCTAGTCCCGGTCTGGGCGCCGGATTCTGTCCCGGTTGCCCCTCTTCCAGGCCAGCTCTCTGCTGTGGCCAGGGAGTGCAGTGGAGGATGGCCCAAGTGCTTGGACCCTGCACCCGCATGGGAGACCAGGATAAGTACCTGGTTCCTGGCTTCGGATCAGCGCGGTACACCAGCCACAGCAGAAGCCGGCCGCGGCGGCCATTGGAGGGTGAACCAACGGCAAAAAGGAAGACCTTTCTCTCTGTCTCTCTCTCTCACTGTCCATTCTGCCTGTCAAAAAAAGAGATGTCTTTTTCTATAGCTTTGCTGGCTTTATTAAGGTTAGCTGTAACCTAAATTTTTTTCATAATATATGCTAATTGATCGTTGCTGCTATATTGGAAAGTTGATGGAGTTTTCAACAGCTGTCTTGGGTTTGGCGACGTTCTTGAGATTGCGTGTTTATTACAGGAGCTCCTTAGCTCATTCTTTTTCTTTTTTAAGGTAAGTGACCGTGCGACCTCTTCCTTACTGCCGTTCTCTGCCGGTTTTAGTGGCTGTGGGTCTCAGCTTCAAGTCTGATCGCACTGGCAAGAATGCTTACAGCAGGCCGTTAGATTTTAGTGGCAATAGCAGGCCCCCTTGCTTGGTTTCAGTAAATCCGAGGTCCTGACAGGAACAAGACTGTGCCAAAAGGATGGGCTGAAGGGAAGAGCCGTATTTACCTATAGAAGGAAGTATTTCCTCAAACTGGCGATGCACTGAGGGAGACACACGTGACGTGGCTGCTGCCTGCCCTGGAGAGACTGCAGCCTGTGGAAGGCCTTCACTGTGTACCTTGTTCAGTCCGACTTCAGATGCCTTTCCTCCAGTCATCCCATTGGATCCCCGAGTGCCAGATCTTTTAAAATTACACCTAAGAGAACAATGTAACTTAGGATATTTAAAAACAACAGAAATTGAGAAGATGGGAGTTTGCATAATGCAGTAACTAGATACAGTTTGCAAAATAGCAAGATGTGAACATGCAATGTACTGGTAACGCACAGTGTGTTTCGCATGTGATTTTTCAACTCTGCTCATTAGGAAAAAAGTGTCAGGTCCCTTGCTAATTGTAACCAAAGAAAAATGGCCATGGCCATCTTTTTTTTTTTTTTTTTTTTTGTTATCTTGGCTGAGCATTTATTTTCCTGGGTATCACACAGGGCTGTTCCAAAATGCTAATTCTTTCTAGAACGTAGAACGTTCTAGAATGTTCTTTTTAGAACGTAGAGCTAGCTGCAGGGCGTTCTGTGTGTGTGCTGCTCTTCCAAGTTCACGTTAACTAGGGGCAAGGTACAAGACACGTGCTGCAGACCTCGGGCCTCTCACTCTGCAGTGGTCTCGTTTCTGCTGCGTAGCCAGCTTTGTGCTCCAGTTGAGGTCTCTGCTGTTCCTCTGAGACTGGCGTGCATCGGAATCCACTTGTGGAAGAGCACAGTGGCCCCCGCATTACATGCTCAGAGGCTTCTGCACTGCCCCGGCCCTTCTCTTCTTCCCCCGTGCTTGTCACCACTGTCGTCCCCTTTCTCCCATTCGAGTACTAACCAGGCCTGACCCTGCTCAACTTCCGGGATCAGACGAGATCGGGCATGTTCAGGGTGGTTTGGCTGCAGATTCCTTTCTTGCTGAGAGCTCCACTATCCCAGACCCCAAGCAGCAGCGCCTCCTACGACTCCCTAAGACAGTCTTCCTGCCGCCAGAAATCCCTGTTCCGTCATTTGCACCCACCGCTCGCAGTCCTGCCCCTGCTTCCGTTCCCTCGGGTCCTGCTCTCCCAGTCCGTCTTCTCCAAAGGCTGTGAGAGCCGTGCCCGCCTTTCCTTAGGGTGCATTCGTGCTCTTGGTGGCAGAGGGCCTTGAGGTGCTGGTTCTGAGGGAGGCAGGCTCGGGCCCTTCCCACACCTGCTGGGGAGCATGAAGGATCTGGTGTCTCCTAGCATCACTTCCTTGGCTATCATGTGTTGTCGGTACACGCCTGCATCTAGGGTGTGCCCATAACAGAAGTAAGCACGCATCCAGACACACGTTCTGTACTGGGACGCGGTGAGAACCAATATACCGGCTCTCGCTGTGGGATTATTTAGGTCTGCCTCCCGTGTGTGCATCCTGCAAACAATTCCATCGCAGCCTCCAGCACTCAGCAGCCAGGGGAACGGAAGGCGACACTGCGTTCTACTTAAGCGCCCCAGTCACACCTCTGCACCCTCATTTGCAGTTCTGGAGTCAGACGCGCTACCGTGGTGCCACGAGGCCTCTTCCCTACTTGTGACTTGTCCTCTCTGCTCCCATGTCAGGTTAATTTAGTTATGCTAATTGTGAGTCCCCAAATCGTTTCCAAGATATGCAGTTCCTTTCATTTCTTGTGCTACACCCATTTGCCCAGGGAAATCCAACCAAATGTTTTTTAGTTGTGGTGAAACAAGTATAAAGCAAAATCGACCACCCTCACCGTCAGTACGTGGACAGTGAGCAATGCTGAGTGCGTTCGCACTGCTGTGCCACCAAGCTCCTGCTTTTCGTCTTCCTAAACCGGAAGCTGTGCCTGTTAAACTGCCCACCACCCACCTCCTCAGGCCCTTGAAGCCATGATTTGGCTGTCCGTCTCTATGAATTTGGCTACCCTGACTGCTCCTGTGACTGGAATCCCAGCGTGTGTCCTTTTGAGACTGGCTTACATCACCTACCATAGCAGGGTTCACGCGGGTCACAGCATGTGTCTGACTCCCCTTCCTTTCAGGGCGGAATCATCTTCCATTGCACGTATGCTTCTTTCCCTCGTTTTTGTTCTCACTATCCGTTGATGAACACTTGGGTTTCTTCCATATCTTGGCTTTTGTGGATGATGCTGCTGTAAACATTGAGTGTACAGATATCTCCGAGACACCCTGATTTCAGATCTCTTGGGTGCGTGTCCAGAAGTGGAAGTGCTGGGTCACGTATGGCAATTCTGTGTTGGAATTTTGGGGGAACCATCATACTGTTCTCCATAGTGACTGCACCATTTACATTCCCACCAACAGTGCACAAGGATTCCAGTTTCTCTACATCCTTGTCAACTTGTTATTTTCTGAATTTTTTTTAAAGTGTCTACCTTCATGAGTATGAGGTGGTATCTCTGTGGTTTCTGTCTGTATGTCCCTAATGATAGTGATCTGAGCACATTTTCCTCTGCTTATTGGCAATTTGTGTCTCTCCTTATTTATTTATTTATTTGAAAGTCAGAGTTACACAGAGAAAGGAGACGCAGAGAGAGAGAGAGAGAGAGAGAGAGGTCTTCCATCCGCTGATTCACTCCCACAACGGCTGGAGCTGTGCTGATCCGAAGCCTGGAGCTTCTTCCGGGTCTCCCACATGGATATGGGGGCCCAAGGACTTGGGCCATCTTCCACTGCTTTCCCAGGCCACAGCAGAACGCTGGATCAGAAGTTGAGCAGCTGGGACCCGAACCGATGCCCATATGCGATGCCGGCACTGCAGGCAGTGGCTTTACCTGCTGTGCCACAGCGCCGGCCCCAGTGTTTCCTTATTTAAAAAAAAAAAATCATTTATTTATTTGAAAGGCACAGTGAGAGAGAGAGAGAGAGAGATCTTTCATCTGCTGATTCACTTCCCACATAGCCACAGTGGCCAGGGCTTATCTGGACTAGGCCAAAGCCAGGACCCTGGAACTCCATCCGGGTCTCCCCTTTGAGTGCAGGGGCCCCAAGCACCTGGGCCATCTTTCACTGCCTTTTCAGGTGCATGAGCAGGGAGCTGGATCAGAAGTGGAGCAGCCAGGACTTGAACCAGCGCCCATATGGGTTGCCAGCATTGCAGGCAGCAGCTTAACCCGCTAAACCACAACACTGGCCCCTTTGTGAATCTTCTATAGAGAAATTCTATTTTAGCCCTTTGCCCACCGATTTGATTTTTAGAGCTTTGTTTCTTTGGTCACATCTGTTTATATGTGGCGTTTGTGTAGACTCTGTGATGCTGTTGTATTGCTCTCAGCTGAAGCAGGCCGCCGGCAGCACAGATCACAGCCCTTGCCCTCTGCCCAGACACTGAAGATCAATTTCCATGCAGAAACCATCAGTTAGAGATGAAGGCCTTCTTCCAGCCACGCGCCTACGGAAAGAACCTGAGATCTGGAGACAGTCTAACTTCTTGGCCTTGGTTAGCTGTCTACTTGTTTGCTTGACTTGTAACACGTTCCTTAATTACTCCAGTCCCTAGGGGAAAATAGGGTTTTTCACCTACATGGTGAGGCTCACACCAAAGTGGATAGCATTATTTTTAAAAGGGATTGGAGGCAGAGGAGAGGAGGGAGCCTAGAAATAGCATAAAGGTCGCTGGGAGTAGTGCCCGCTTGCCACCCCTCCCCATCCCGGTGTTCACTGTGCTGCTTTGACATGTTAAGAAGTCTACAGTTTGAGGGTGTCAATGCAGAGAGACCAGGTGTTTTTATTGCTTTTGCAAAGTAACACGTGTGTGCAGACGTGGTGAGGGGCTGGTGAAGCTGACTCTCCCTACACAGTGAGGCTGTGGCTTCCTCCTGCCCACTCGCCCATGGTGTTCGCCCCGCAGCCTCTCGTGGGGGAGGATGTTTATTTCTAGCATCCGGAGGAGCATTGTGCTTTGTTCAGGATCCACCTGCTCCTCTCTGGGCCCAAACACAATTCACTGGTGCTCTTAGATTCCAAGGTGGGAGCCAGGCTGCTGCTGTTACCTTGAACTTAGTCCAAGAAACCAAGCCAGGGCTGGAGGGACCCTGCGTGGGGGCTACTCAGTGGGGACGTGAGGTTTAACAGCAGTCTCCTGAGTTCTTTTGTTGGTGTGGTGCTATCGTTAGTGCAGTCTGAGTTCAAAATTATATAAGGCCCACCCCACCCCTGCCACCCTACCCCATACACTGAAAAACATTCCAGTCTGATCAGAGAGAAATGGCAATAACAGTAAGACAAAATAGGATTGAAACGTGGATTCCCAATGATGTAGGGCATAAGGTGTTGCTGTTATTAACAATGATAGTAAGAGCCGTCTGTGACCTAGGACCCACTAGATTGCCAACACCGTCTTGGGCGCCTTTCTTCGCCTCTCCCTTTAGTCACCACTGGGGAACCTGATGCTCCAGCTGGTCGCCTGACCTGCAAAGAGTTTAGTACACAGCAGAGCAAGGAGTGATGCCCAGTGTGGCTGAAGACAGGGCGGGCTTCCCTGAGGAAGTGGCATTCAGGTTGAGTCTTGAAAGGACAGAGAGTGCCAGGGCCAGTGTGTCCCATCTCCTTGTAACAGGGTGGTGAGGCCACGCCGCCATGCACCGGCTGCCCCACCAGCGTCTCCTGCACCTGTTCGATGTCCTTCAAGGCCAACTTCCAGGTGTTCCTGCAAATCCAAGGCAGCTGCGGCCTTGTGCTCCTTTGTGTGTCCACAGCACTTCGGGTGCTGCACTGCGTGTGGCCCTTAGCATGTCCACAGCTCTGTGGCCGCTTCCTTATCTTGTGCCCCTGTTGCTTCGTCTACAAAACAAAGGCAATGATGGCACCCGTCTCAGAGGCCTGTGCAGCACTTAAACCTACACCTGAGTCATGATCAGCATGGCCTGGTGCCAGGGAGAACATGGCACTCTGGGGGAAGAACTGGTCTCGGGGGAGAGACTGCTGATCATACCCAGGGTGGGGTCCAGGTGGCAAACGCCCTTTCAAAGAGCCAGACTAGCGCAGAAGCAGAGTGACCTCCTGGGGCACCTGCAGAGGCATCCCTGTCTCCGTGACCTTGGCCCTTGAGCAGGGGCGAGGCTGGAGGCTCCTGCTGGCCTCACGTCTCTGTGACCTGCAGCTTGGCTGGCTGCTCCTGCTTTTCTGGCCTCAGCCAAGCCCAGTTATTTTCCCTCAACTCCCTCAAATTCCAGCTGGGGCCCGAGGCCAATCTTGACCTCGCCTTGTGCCGGAGCAAAGGAGCCTAGGTTTTCCTGCCTTAGGTCACAGCAGTAGGAAAATACCCAGGCTCCATGCCAACTGGGAGGACCCTCTGGCCTTGCCACGGGCCTGCCCACAAACAGGAAGCTTTCTCCCTCACCGAGGCCCAAGTCCCATGCCTGTCACACGCCCCAGCAGTTTTCCCCGAACAGGAAAACTGTCAGAGCTGTTCAGGCATTTCCTCTTCTGCTGCCTGCCATCCGGCCAGGGGAGAAAGCCTTCGTTTCGGTTCCTTTCCTGTGCAGGGGAGGCCGCTTTGATTGGAAGCTGCTGGAATAAATACGGGGAAGTGGGGGACAGGGTTTTCAAGGGCACAGCCAGTGCTCCCAGTGTACCGCCTTTCCCGGGACTCCCTTGTTGTAGAACCGTGAGCATTTGTCTTCTGGGTCTGCATCCCTGGTGCGGAGGACCAGTCAGCAACAGGAGACAGCCCTGTGGACTGCCCTGAAACTCGGTTCTCTGCTTTTGATGGAAAGGGGGATGGCAGACAAAACCAAGACAGCACACCGCTACAGTGCAGCAGTGCTCTTTGGGACAGCCCCGTGGATGTCAGAGGGAGGAAGTCCCCGAGGACCCTTTGAACATAGGGTCACAAATGTGCTCCTGGTTCCTCCCCGCCACACACGTGACCTTGACACACGTGCTGTGCTCATAGGTGATGTTTCCTGAGTTTATTCTCTGACTCTGACATAGGTTTCGGTGCTGGGCCCCATCTGAGGTTTTTGCTTTTCAGGTGTCACTATACAAAAGACAAATGGCAGTGTTTTGATTTTTGTTTTCCAGTTGAAGTTTTAGGAAGAAGCGACCCTCTTGCAAAGCGGGCAGTAGCTTTCATGAGAATTAGGGCATACTCGTAATTTCATCTCCTGCTCTCCATTTCTCTCTCTCTCTCTTCCCAGGAGGACTTTAAGAAGGACAAAGGGGAGGAACTGACCCAAGTACTGTGTGGGAAGGAGCAGGCTGACTCGGAGGCTGGGGCCAGGGTGTGCTCCCTGCTCCTCGCCCAGTCTGAGGTTAGGGCTCAGTGCCTGCTGCTGATCTTGGCCAACAGAACAGGTAAGGGGCACACCTGTCTGGGGGACCAGCCAGGTGTTGGCCGCACACTCTGGGTGCAGATCAGAGGCTGCAGGTGCGGGGGAGCAGGGCTTGGCTGATGCTGGGAGAGGCCCTCCAGAGATAAACCACTCTGGCCATCACGGCATCTTCTAGAACAGTGTGGGGAGGTAGAGCAGGATGAGCTTAACTGGCTTCCAGACTTAGCAGCCCTATTTTTAATTCTAGAACTTTCCAGCATGTTCCAGTTTATGAAAAAGCACCAGTCCGACCTGAGAAAGGTAAGTTCCCTGAAGTTATGGCTTTCAGAGGAACCGTGGGTCCGTGGTGTAGGAGAGGAGTAATTGCCATCTCTACCCCCACATCCCCCACCTCTCCATCCTCCTCTGCAAGTCTTCACCTGTGCTTGTACCAGAGAGTTTATGGGATGGTGTAATTAAGAGATGCCCATCTTGTACCGGATTCTGTCCCGGTTGCCCCTCTTCCAGGCCAGCTCTCTGCTGTGGCCAGGGAGTGCAGTGGAGGATGGTCCAAGTGCTTGGGCCCTGCACCCGCATGGGAGACCAGGATAAGTACCTGGCTCCTGCCTTCGGATCAGCACGGTGTGCTGGACGCAGCAGCCATTGGAGGGTGAACCAATGGCAAAAGGAAGACCTTTCTCTCTGTCTCTCTCTCTCTCTCTGTCTACTCTGCTTGTCAAAAAAAAAAAAAAAAAAAAAAGAGAGATGCCCATCTTGAGTCTTGTTTCAAAGATCCCTGAGGACTTTGTCCTCTTGGGCCTGTCCACTGTGGAGTCACACACAGGGGTCACGAGTGGGCTGGGCTCCTCTTCTAGAACCCACTTTCCACGAGTGACAGCAGCCTTTTCTGTGTCTCCTCTACAAGCTGGGGATCCGGGATTTCACCGAGCAAGATGTGGCAAGCCACCAGAGCTACTCCCGGAAGACCTTGATTGCGCTGGTCACCTCGGGGGTCCTCCTGGCCATCCTGGGCACTACTGGCTATTTCCTCATGAACCGTCGCAGCTGGAGCCCCACTGGAGAGCGGCTGGTCAGTGCTGGGGCCGGGGCCCAGGAAGTGGGGGAGGAGAAGGGGGCAGATGGACGGAAAATTGACCCTAGGAGTGTTCTGGGCGAGGGAGGACAGGGTGAGGCTTGACCTGGCCCCCACTCTGGGGAGGCTAGTCCTCCGTCGGGACTGCCCGTTTTCTTGTGGGACTTGGTCTCTGAGCTCTGGTGGCACGGAGTGGTGCCTCTCTCTGTCCTCTCTCCCCTAGGAGCTGGAACCCTGACCGCTCTTCAGAAGGAAAGGAGTCTGCACATGCAGCCGCACCCCTGCCCCCTCTACCCGGTGCCTGCACCCCTGCTTACCAGATAATGCTCCTTTATTTATACACTGTCTAGGGCGAAGACCCTTATTCCACGGAGAACGGTGGAGGCCAGGGCTATAGCTCAGGACCTGGGGCCTCCCCCGAGGCTCAGGGAAAGGCCGGTGTGAAGCAAGGGGCTCAGAACGGCACCGGCCAGGCCACCTCCAGAAACGGCCATTCCGCAAGACAACACGTGGTGGCTGACACCGAACTGTGATGCGTCCGGGGGGCAGAGTGGGGGGCGGGGTGGTGTCTGCCTCTGTGCGGGCGGCGGCCCCCACCTTGCCGCCTTCCCTTTCCCAGGGTGCACACCTTGGCGGTTTGTGCCTGGGCCCTCCACCCAGGGAGAGGCAGGTGCACCCCTGCCCTCTACACAGCGGCCCTGGGCTTGTGTGGGTCAGGGTGTGATGGGGAGAAGCCCACGTCCACAGGCAGAGGAGCCCTGGGGGAGGCTTCCCACTTAGATGCCTTCTTCCTCCCCTCCTCCTCTGCCTCACTGCAGGAACCCCCAGGGCAAAGGAGGGACTTTTCTAGGTTATTAACTGCCTCCCAGGAGGCTTGGAATTTTACTGTTTCTTCCTCATAGTTTCTTTCTCTCCTCTAGGGAAACCAGAGCCACCCTTTGCAGCTGCTCCCTTGTCACAGTATAGCCAGCAAAAAACGTGTTGTCTTAAACCACTCCCTGTATCCCTCTTCCAAAGACACTGTGGGCTGAGTCACCAGCTCGGGGCTTGCTCTCCAGGCCCCTGCAGGGCCCTGGTGCACCCCCTATCTGTGCTCGGAGGCCTGCCCTGTCTTCTGGCTGCAGTCGGGAATGGGGTCAAATGGCTCCGTCCTGGCCTTGCCGAGGCCCCCAGACATTCTCCTTTGCTCCTTTTCCTCCTGGTTCTGAGTGGACTGGACCCTGGGAGCCGGTCCTTGAGCCGAGCGTCTGGACCTGGCTTCTCCGGGGAATCGCTGAGCTCCGAAGCCAGGCCCCAGCCTCCCACTCTGGCCTCCACGGCTTCCTCCTCCCTCCCTGACTCCTGGGTTGAGCTGTGGCCTCAGTCCCCCAGCAGATTCCTTTCCGTCTCCTCCCCTCCCACACTCCTTCACTGCCCTGCACCTGCGTGGTCAGAGCCCCAGCACACCCCAGTGGGCCCCTCCCACACTGCCTCCTCTGCGGGTGGCCCTGTTCCCTGTTGTCGCCGTCATTTTTCCAGAGGGGTGAGCAGGGATCCTGGTTTCAATGACGGCTGGAAATAGAACTTTCCAGAAATGAGAGGATTGGGTGGATTTTTTTTTTTCTGAATAAAAATCAGTGTGTGTAAATACTGTAATTAAAGCAATCCCAGACCACCATCCTGTTCTGTGGCTCTGTCCCAGTGGCCTCCCCATGACACCCCACTGGGCTGGGCCGTGATGAGGTGGGGAGGGGCTGGACCCTGGAGAGACTGACCCCTCTCAGCCTGCACGGGTACGGGCACGGGCACCAAGCGGGGTGCTGAGGACCTGTGGCAGAGGTTTGCACCCTTGCAATTGACAGCAGTCAAGTACAAAAGAAAATCTGCAAACCCCTGCCCTCTGCCATAGCTTCCAGATGTCCCCCCACCCCCACCCTGGGGCCCTGGGAAGTGGGGGTGGCTGGGGGAACACTCCCACGTGGGTCACCAGTGGCTGAGGCCCATGGGGCCCGAGCGAAAGTCATTTTTTCCATTCCTGCCTTTCCCCTGAGCAATCCCCACCCCACTTCTCTCTTACTTTCCTCCAACTTGTGTAACTCAGGGGAGGCCAAGCAAGAGGCGAAGAGCCTGGACTGGGTCGGCCGCTTTAGGCGGGGGTGGGGGGTGGGGGGTGGAAATCAGGGGAGGTCTGCTTGGCCGCCATCTCTCTGCACATCTGGTAATGAGAGTGGTTGTATAAGGGTCTGACCAGATGGGGGAGTTGGGGAGAAGGAGTGGGTACAGGGTACGGATGTCCACTCGTGGAAACCTGGGAGGAGAGAGAAAGCAGCGTCAGGCTTGGCAACGTGTATAGCGTGTTAGCCTGAGTCTGTTGGCACACAGAGCTTTGGGAGGAAGGGGGCTGTGTGTGCTGGGAGTGGGGTGCGGTGAACGTTCCGTGATGGGGGGACAGCTTGCCTTGAAGACCCCCTTGCTTTTTGGAAAATAAAACGGTCCCACATTTGGCCTGAGCATCCTGGTGCAGCAATGGCTCCACCTGCTGGCCCTGCTGAGCTCATGCCGTGCAAACTGCCCCGGGTTTTCTTTCCTGCTGCCCTCACCCTCAGCACACCCAACGCTCATTCGTCTCACGCACGAAGTTCATATAAACTACAGAAAGTCGCTGCTGGAGGAGACCATCACAAGGCATTTCAGATGGTTCATGGAAAATAAAAATAAAGGATGCATTTATTTTGTTGCTAAAAAATTGAAATCCATGCATATACAGGGTCTTTTAAGCAATTCATGGAAAATGTGCATTCTAAAAAACTGTGCATGGATTTCAAGATTTTTGCATGAAAATAAACTTGTGTTTTCACTTTTCCATGAACTTGTTCATGTACCCTCATATATCAAGTTCAACTCCCTTATGAATCCGTGAAGGATGAAAGCTCAGAGAAGGGACATGGCTTGCGCAAGCACCTGACATTCAGACGTCCTCAATGCAGCATCCTCCGTCCCCTTCCTCATGTCACCGTGCTTTGCTGATGACATCTCGGGTTCCTCCAGCTGGGTGTCATGAAGCCAAGGAAAGCATTGCCGGGGTGGGAGCGTTTCATCAACAGGTGCTGAGCCATCGTGGGCTGGCTAAGCAGATCCTGAGCCCTAGAAACAGATCCCAGGAGGCCATGAGGCTCAGCTCCCTCTGCTGTGCCCACGGTTAGCCCAGGGCTAGCCCTGGAGGAATGCATCGTGCATCATGGAAAGCACATCTGTAGCATCTCCTGCCAGGTTTCTGGGTGAACAGGAGTATCCTAACTCTGGATAAACAGATCACCCCTGTCCTGTCCCCTCCAGGTAGATCATCCCACACTGCCTTGGCACACAAACCCTGGAAGAGCTGAGCAGTTTTGTGCAATCGGGTGCTGCTTCTGTTCCTACAGCCTGTATCCACAGAATTCCCAGACACTGTCAGTCATTCAGGTTTTAGTGAGCACTCGCCATGTGCCAGCCCCCATTCTAGAATCTGGGGATGTGGCAAGTGCTATGGAACAGAGAATTCCAGCAGAGGAGAATGATGATAGACATTGTATCTCAGTAGACATACATATATGTTTTCAAGTCCTCTTGAATATAAAATACAATAGCCCACCTTTATCTGCACAGGGTACACTCCAAGCCTCCCAGTGGGTGCCTGGGATAGCACTAAGCACTAAGCCCCATAAGCAGTCACTGTGATGCCACCTGAGTTGATCTGATAACTGAGATGGTTTCTAGGTGACAAGAGGGTGGGTAGCATATACAGTGTGAATACAATGGACAAAGAGGTGACTCATATCCCCAGGCAGGACAGAGTAAGAGGGTGCAGATTTTACCACACTGTTCAGAGTAACATGCAACTAAAAACTTATGAACTGTTTATTTCAGGAATTTTCCATCTAATATTTTTGACCACGGTTGAGTGCAGGTAACCGAAACCACAGAAAGGGAAACTGAAGAAGAGGGGACTGATATAGATTGAGGGCCGCGGTGGGTGGGTGCTTTACATACGGTGGTGACTCCCGAAGAGCGGACAGCACAGGTGCACCTGAGTGAAGCGAGGAAGTAGATCCTGTACGAGGCTGGGGGGATCACTCGGTGCTGAGGGAATAGCAAGTGCAAAGCCTGTGATGCAAACCCTGCCAAGAGCACGCAGCTCTGTGCTACCGAGGGAGGCAACACGGCCACGGCGACTGGGCCCACGTGGAAGGGAGAGTGACAGCAGCCCAGGGCACATCAGGCCTGCGGTTGCAGACTAGGAACCCCCGGGAAGGTTTTGAGGAAGAAGCACCATGACCTGAGATGTTTTCGAAGGAGTGTGTGGTTGCTGAGTAGGGACTAGAGGCAGAGGGACAGGAGAGCAAGGAGGGAGACCAGCTGGAGCCTAGGGATCCTGTCGAGGGCAATGTGCATGGTGGGAGGAGGTGTTGCGTGGAAAAAGGGCGATGAGCAGAGCTCAACAGGTGTTTTCCACAAGGAGCTGACAGGACTTGCTCTGTCCATTGGCTCCCTCAAACCATAACAACAGCAATGATGACAGCAGCTGACACCTACCAACTAGTTACAGTGTGAAGGTGAAGACACTGCACCAGGGGCTGGTGCTGTGGCGTCGTAGGCTAAGCCTCTGCCTGCAGCTCCCGCATCCCACATGGGCTGGCTGCTCCTCTTCCGATCCAGCTCTCTGCTATGGCCTGGGAAAGCAGTGGAAGATGGCCCAAGTGCTTGGGCCCCTGCAGTTGCATGGGAGACCCAGGAGAAACTCTTGGCTTCAGATCCACCCAGCTCCGGCCATTGCGGCCATTTGGGGAGTTTACCAGTGGATGGAAGATCTTTCTCTCTGTCTCTCCCTCTCTCTGTAACTCTACCTCCTAAATAAATAAACAACAGTTTTAAAAAAGACACTGCACCAGTATTGAAATGGTGCATTTTACTTAGTATTCACAGAAATCCTAGGAAGTAAGTACCGATTTTCTCAGGAAAGGAAACAGGCTCAGAGAGTAACAAGGAGCCCTGTGAGACGCTGGCTGCAAGAGGCAGAGGTGAGTGAGATGCAGGCTTATTTGAATCCCAAGATTTAAGAATCTGCTGCGAATACTACAAGTTCATTGGGGGGCCTGGAGTTGGTGCAGAGCTAACTTACCGCTCAGGGTGCTCGAATCCACATCAGAGCGTCTGGTTCCAGCTCCAGCTCTTCTGCTTCAGATCCAACTGCTTGTCAGTGCCCACCTCGGGAGGCAACAGATGGCAGCTCAAGTTCTTGGGTCCCCACCACCCACGTGGGAGACCCAAATTGAGTTCCAGACTCTTGGCTTTGGCCTGACCCAGCCCCGGCTCTGATGTGAACCCACAGGTGGAAGATCTCTGCCTCTCTGCCTTTCAAATACAATGAAAATAAATAAATAACTTAAACAAGAATACTGCAGGTACCTTCAAATAAGCAGCCACCTCCAACAGAAAGCAAGTGAGCAGGAACACGAGGAAAGACTAAATGAAGAGCTGTGGCTGCAGAGGTGGGCAGGACGCCTTCCAGCGGGGGAGATCTGAGAGGGGCCATGGACAGAGAGGGGCTGAGTGGGTCTCTGAAGATGGATAAGATCTTGACGGCTCAGAACTCTTGCAGCCGATCCAGGCGCACGTGTGGAGGAGGGGAGACAGGGCCGTGTGGTTCCCAGTATGGCAGAGAAGTGGATGCATTAAGCGGCCCAAGTAACAGAAAGCTCGTGGGGTCCTGTGGGTGCAGGTGTTAATCTAGACCACAGAGGCTAATGTTATTCTGTAGAAAGGGGGGAGCCACTGAAGATCTGCCATTTACTCATTAATGTATTCATTTATTCAACAAATATTATTTTGCATGATTACTGCAAGCCAGGAGTTGTGCCAGGCACCTGGGATAAGACACAGTCCCTCTGCCAAGTCTTTCCAATGGGTGAATGTGAGGACAGACGACAGAACAGCGCAGTGCTGGGAGGAGCCCTGAATGGGTGGGGCATGGAAGCCACAGAAGGTCATGGAAGGCTTCCCAGAAGAGGAGACATCTGGACTAACTCAGAGGGACAAGCTGGTGTTCGAGAGAAGGGAGAAGATGGGTGCTCCAGGGAGAGGAAGGAGCTTTGGCCCTGGCACAAGCTGAGGGCGGTCCTTTCAGAGCTGTGGGCGACGTGTGGATGGTCCAAGCAAAGGCGTGCTTCTTCTTCCCTTCCTCTCCTTTGCTGAGGCTCTGTTTGCTCCTTTGTCGTAAGCATGCGACAGTTGCTCGCCGAGCGCTTCATGAAGGCTGTTAAAATGCGTGTGAGATGATTCCAGCATCTCTGTCGTTTCAATGTTGGTGTCTGTGCATTGTCTTTCCTCATTCAAATTGACATTTTCCTGGATTGGGGTGTTACCAGTGAGCTTAAACTGTACAAGGACACTTGGGATTTTTTTAAAAATATATATTTATTTATTTGAAAGACAGAGTTACATAGAGAGAGGAAAAGACAGACAGACACATGCACACACACACAGGGAGAGAGAAAGAGAGAGAGTGATTGATTTTTCCATCTACTGGTTTACTCCCCAAATGGCTGCAATAGCCAGAGCTGGGCCAGGTCAGAATCAGAAGCCTGAAATTCTATCCTGATCTTCCACTTGGTTTGTCAGGGACCCAGATACTTGGGCCAC